TAAATGTAAATACTCAATTTAAGAAATCGGCAAGACGGTGAAAATTAATTTGTTATAATTTAAAAATATTAATAACAATACCGGCTTATATCAATATAAATATCGTTTCATTATTAACAGGCTAAATATTTTGACACTTTTCATTTGTTTTTAAGATCTAATGTATGTATGTATTGTCAATAACTATAATATAATATATATTTTTAAACAACTCGAGGTTTTTTTTTATCTTACTATCTTTCTATACAAAAAAAAATTATAATCTATTATGATTTGTATGTGATTCGACATACATTTTTGAACCTTTATTTGGTTTTACTTCATTGAAGTGTGAACGTTTTTCGGCGGCAAGATGTGATTGTAGTAACACTGGTAGTTTTGATACTTGCTGAACAACGACAGCACGGTGTATCCTTAGACATTTTTATTTTAACTGAGATTAAGTAAATAAATTTAAATTATTATTATAATTGAAATAAAATTCAAAATTGGATCTGAGACCTAAGTATGATATTCAATAACAGAAACGTCGATGTAAGTAGTATCAAGTATCAACTATCAAGTAGTATCAACTCATAAATAGTGCAAAAGCTAGTTCAATGAACATGGCCACCCAATAAACAGAATACAACAAAAACAAGGGTGCCCGCAGATGAAAATTCAGGGGGAGGGACCACATATGATTTTGTAATAGATTTTACAAATATGGGATATTGGATATGCATTTTTTTAACTTGCAGAGAAACTAGGGGAGGGGAGTTTCCCCGCCCCTCCCTGTGGGTGCTCTTGATTACAATATTAAAAAACACAATTTAAAATGTAAAAAAATATTTGCAGCCTAGTATGAGTAAAAACGCATGATAGTAATATAGTATCATTGAAACGATTAACGAGGAAAGTTCTTGTCGGCGGCAACATCGTCGACCATTATTGTAATTATCACTATTATCATTAAAATGATCATTGTAAGTTACTGTTTGCGACAAGGCGGTGAGTCGTTCGCTGGCTAATGGCCATCGCGGCCGACAGGGTACCAGGGAAGTCACGTGCTAGAAATATATTCAGAGGTGCCGGCACGATTAATATCATTGTCAAAGGAATAGCGAGGCGGCAGGGTAGAAGTTGTACGAAGCAGTAACAAGAAAGACCATATGTTTTAGGACACTCCGGTAGCAACTGTTGTACGTATATTGTGTATCTTTATTTTAGGAAGTTTGATACAATGTAATATGGAATACCTATTGGCTGGTTAGTATTACCGATATTAGACATGGTCTAGCCTGGGTAGATTTCTTGTCTTCTAACTGAAATGCGAAATTATGATTTTTTTAAATTGTAAACAATTGTACTTTTACCTACAATTGATGTTGTTAACTAATGCAATTTATAAAATTAAAGCCAACCCACATTCTACTTTTTAACGCTCTTATGCTTAGCTTTGTCAATACTGACTACATATGAAAATATATTTTTAATGGTAAAACTCGTATTTTATTAACTTTTGAAATTAAGTAAGACTAATCTATTCAGCATTATGACTATTCGATTAGAAAATGTATAGTTTTGTAAAAAAGTCTAATAGTTATCAAAAATAAATACATTTTTTTATAAACTAAAATGTATTATTATTAAAAAAAAATGTGCCTCGTTAAATTAATCACCTTTACAAGAGAAAAAAATCGGGATTATCAACAGGTGACAGTATTCATTTTTTTTAAGAATTATTGTAATTGTAATAGTGTTTTTATATTTTATATTTTCCTTAATAAAAGACAAGTCTGACTAAAGAATTTTGGAAAATACGTATATGTTACAGGGCTACACTATAATGTTCAGACCTTGAGTCCAAATATGCCTAAAAAAAGTAAAATCCCATCTAGGGCGATGGTTTACGAAATGGTTTTCGTATGATATTTGTTTGGTTACATATATATATATAAATATATCGAATATTTATCGATATTATTAGATACTGGATTAAAAAAGTATCTATTGTGGTTCTAAAAACAAAAACATTTTATTGTAAAACCAATAGTTTTTCAGCTACGCACAGAAACTAAAACAACAAATAAAACTTTTACTACAAAATTAAACACCAAAATAGTGTGATTTAATCCACGAGACGACTACAGACTATTTTTACTTTATTCGACCGTTTACACGAATGTCGTCTCCTCTTAAGGATTTTGCCAATTTTTTTTATCGTTAAAACTGAATAATACTTTTGGACGTTCCAATTTAGAACACGGGAACGGTTAAACGAAACGAAAAAAGAATGACTCTGCCAACATCTGTCGTACTATAGCATACAGTCACTTTTGTTCCACGTGTCACACCGTATTATAGCTGTGAAGGTATGTCTGAACTGTGTGGAGCTTAATAGTTCAAACACATTTTCCAATAGTTTACCACATTTAGGTATAAGACTTCAGACAAACAACGTCTTCGGAAAAATGTCGGATAACAGATAGCCGTTTGAGATACCTAACCGAATAGTTGTGTTTTCATAGCCGATCAACAGTCAAATGTTTTTAAAACTATACACTCTTATTATAAATTTAAAATAAATTCCTTAAAAATGTGTTGACTAGAAAGGAAAGTAGGACCGACTGACAGCAGGATTCTTAAGAGTTACGTATATAAATTGTACAATTATAATTTACAAGCATGTAGGTGGAACGTAAAATAGGGCAATAAAGATATTCAATTAAATTAATTTAGTCACTCGTGGTAGTATATTTAATGTTATTAAATAATATTCCACATTTCAACTATAATGCTTTCAGTTGTAACGCTTAAAACACAAGGGAACATTGTACGGGGAAGGTAGCAGTGTATTGGCTTTCAAAACTTTGATGCATTTGAATTATACAGCGCATTACTAATTAGTTCCATTAAGTCAGACCATAGTCAAGTATTGCTAACCGACACTTTCTTACTGTAATTAATTTCTCGTGGGTAAACCTTCGCCCTTCATCGGGCACAACATTCTTCGCGGTTAAAGGCTCATGAAATCACTTCAGGGTTATCAGGCAAGTTAAAACTTACACAGATAAGAACAATTAATTTGATCATTTTGGGATCTATCCATTTGTTATTAATTAGCTGACTTTCCAAATCCATCACAGGGTGCATCTTTAGAGTTTTATCTCCACTGTCGCGACTATACGGTAAATATGTACCTAAAACCTAATTGAATGGTTGTACCTCATCATGTTATAATATGCTGTGTTATAATATTTTGCCTATTCAATAATTGATCTGAGTACCAATAATTTATATTTAATCAGTTATCTTAGTTGAATTAAACATATTTAGTAACACACTGTAACTAATTATTTTTTATTTTTTAGATCAGGTTCTGAGTTTTCTGATACAAGTTAAAGTAAAAATGGCTAACCGCTTAATATTGCAATTATTTTTCGTTTTAAAAATCTCGTCACCTATTTTTGAAGAAAAAAAAAAGTATAGAGCTAGATTGTTTGATATAAATAAGTAATGAAATTTAATCCACTCAATTAATACGTCACGTCCTTGCCAGATTTTTTTACAAACCTCGAAAACTCAGCTTTCTTTTGTCTGTTCAGACGCTATTGAATTAACTTAGGTCTTAGATCAGTAATTTTGAGCAATACGTTTTTTAACTTTGTTTTGGGCTATAGTGTTAATTTTGTAATTTTTTAGTAAGTACATGACATCAATATGTTGGAACTATAACTTCGCATGATAATATAATTTTGAATTATGAACTACTTGGAAAATTGTGCACGTCTGGCGGATGAATAAAACGGCATGATGGACTTAACGTTTGTATGCGATTATTAATAGGCAAAATTATTATTCCATATCGACAGAGCGTTAATTGGCATACGCCATTTTTGCGCGGTGACAAATCATACGGACGAACGATCATCGATGATCACTCTATGTATAATGTATACTATATTAAACATGTATTGATCAAAAACGATTTTACTCTGAACGACGACGTGGTTGGAATATACAAACAGATTGGTTGTGACTTGTATTTGACCTCTTGCTCAACTGCTCTACAATGTATTAAACTAGTATATTTTATCGAGTGACCGGAGATTTTATTACTAGTGCCGGATACCAACGTAGTACCAGCTGGTTAAGACGTTGAAGTAACGATGTTTACAGTGTTCGAGTCGATTGCTATTAGATGTTTACCTCGCGAGTGTATAATATATTATGTTTTATACTTCTATACCGATAATATTTTTATTTAAATATAAAAACATATTTTTTGTTCTTGCACAAATAGTTCACAATAGTGAGTCATTAAGAAACTAACACTGCGGCGGCCTCAAAATAACTTTTTTAGAGACCGAGTTTGAAGTTGCTGACAATTTAAATTCAGCATCAAATTAGTAGAAGTCAATGGCATCGCTTCCTAATAATAATAAGTAATTCGCCTGTAGCTTACAATGGCGATCAATAAAAAACCTTAACTATCCAACAATCTCTAGTTGTATGCAACTTTGAAAAAAAAAAAATTAAGTGCAATGTTTTGTAATAAAACTTACAATTTACATTGACCCCGTGGCCACTACCCCCTTCCGCATTATCTCTAAAAACATCACTTAAACAGGTGAACCCGAGTTAGGTACACGCTACATATTTTACTTTCTGTATATTATTTTAAAAAATTACCTTTTGCCTTTAGTCTTATTGATCTTTTTCCCGTTATAGATAGAATATTTATTATATTCACCTTGGAAATTCGTTTTAACGCGTCCTTGACTCATCACGAGCATTCCGCAGACGGCTGAATTTGGCAAATGACAATTAACGATTTTAGAGCGGTTACCGTTTACCAGTTATGTACCTAGTGCGGTAGATGATAGATCTGTGGCCGGCAAGCGCGGCCGCCGTGTGAAAGCGGTAGCGGCGGCGGCCACCAATCGCTCCTGTACCGACGGCCAACCCGACGAAAGCAGCCGGTTGTCCGCGCTATTGTCGGCGGCTATAGCGGCAGCTCCACACGGTCGTCAGTCGCGTCCCGCCACGCGCCAAACAGCTTTGTCGGCAGACCTCGTACCGCTCCGTCGTCCGTCGTTACCGCGAGAGTACACGTTTTTCGGCGGAGATCAAAAAAACAATTAACGACGTTTTTAACAACTCCGAGACGCCTATATATTTAAAACTATTTTTTTTTTGAACCGTCTGCACGCGACAAAGAGGTTTCCGACAGCGATTTGCCGCCGATCGTTTTTGGGGCAAAGCCGTTTTGGAACAATAAAAACAAAACACCTATCGTAAGGTAAGTCGAAACGTGTAAACGATAATAGTTTTAAGATTTTGGCATACCGTGTTAGACCGTATTATTTTGCACTGTTTAAACCGGACAAGATTTTTCGCGCGGTTTGAATATAAATTTAATAACGTTGAACTTGCCGTTCGATTTGGCTCATACCGAGTGCGAAAGTCAAATAAAAAACCATCAGCTATTGTTGTGTATGTATGTGTGTGTGTGTGTATGTGTATAAAATATAAACATTAAATGCATATTTTGCCCTTTGCGTAAACGCGCGGTTACCGCGAAAACGTCTGTTATCATGAAACTAATGTGATTATTACGTTGTTTTAAAAAAATTACCAAAAAGAAACAACGACATTTTGTTAAGAGTCCACCGCAATTTTTCTGCCATATACCCGTGAAACGGTTGATAGTTTTTTTTTCGTTGATATTTTTGTAAGAGTACAATAATTATAGCCTTATTTTTTATTTTGCTTATAACTTTATGTACAGACGATTATTGAGGTTTGTCCCGATAATGAAGTAAAAAATATTATAGACATTCTTTTGTAACGAAATTATTTTTCTTGGAACTTTTATGATAACACCACTTATATTGTTTGATACTTTTTTCTAAGATCTTGTAGTTTTGTGTACAATGTATATAATAAACTCATGCAATATACTCGGTTGATGCATGCAGCAAAACAATTATTGTCAAATTACAATAAATATGTCATATTTATAGTGGCTATTTTCAAATTCCGAAGAATTAATATTTGAATGTCGTAAATAATAAACTCTATTTGATAGTTATACAGCATACCTCACAAAATACTCCCTCACATTTTTCGCACTAGTATGGGACATTCCGGCTACTACTTTTTCATTTATACTATCATATTGTATAAGATTAAAAAAATGTAAATTATGTTTTAGAGCCACACTTGATATACCTTCCGTTTAATATTTAGACCTAAGTATTAAAACTACATCTAAAAAAAGCGAAATAAAGGAAAATCTTCGACCCATTCTAAAGGAAAGAGCTTATGATATATTTTTTTTTACTATAATATATCGGTTATACTGTAGGGTTACTACAACTGGTACGTCGACATCAACCGTGGTTGACACTAAAGGCTGTTGATTGTTACGGCAGTGGTGTTCTTCCATACTTATATCTAAACGTTATCCCATACGAGTCGAGAAGTAATTTTACTATTCTTTTACAAATTTTAGCATGCCGTAATTCTAAGTAGAAAAATGTGTAAATTTGAAGGTTGATTTTCTCGTATTCGAGTGGGAAAAGTATACTTTTCTCATTTTTGGTCTTCCAAAATATCTTACACGAACGATTTCTGATCTATATACTTGCTACATGAAAAAATCGATCCGGTGGCTAAAATGCAACGTGAGTCCAGACTAAAAAAAAAAATGCATTGTAAAACCAGTTATAAATTCGAAATTAGGTCCCAATTATTTTACAAAAAAAGACCGAATCTACGTACAATATATCGGCTACCCTATTATCTGTATGAATTCAGTGTACACTCATTGTGGCATACCTTAGGAAAAATAACTGATCGGGTCGTTATCACTTTGCTTATTTACAATTGTTTTACAAAAATCACGACTGTGCGTACAGTTAATATAATTTAACACGTTTGAATTTAACGACAAAGGCGGTTCACACCAATTTCATTACAAAGCGGACAACGGCTAAATGCTAATCCAGTTTGTTGCACGGCCAGACGAATTTATATTAACCTAAGTGAAAGCGGTCAACCAGTACCTACATACCATCATATACTACTAGTTGTAAAAACGCTTTTGGCAACATGTTTGACTAAAGCGCTATCGCACAATACCATTTTGGAATACAAATCAAAATAGATTTCGAATAGACGTGTACTATCTTCAATTTTGAATTTCGTTTTTGTGTTAATTGAAAAATATCATATAATAGTACGCATTAAAACTAACCTAACCTAACTATAATAGTTTAAAATGTTTTAAAATTATTTTCCGAAAAAACTAGGAAAAATCCAAAAACTGAGAGAAATACTAGTAGTTATAAATATTGAAAAATCTATTAAAACCGGCAACGATTACTTTCCGAAAAAAATCGAGAAAATATACTTTTCTTACACAATTTCTGAAAAATATATTAAATACGTGGAAAAATTGTATTTTTTTTTGTTGAGAAAAATGATAATAATAGCCTTAAAAACAATATGACAACAATCATTGTTAATGCTCGATTAATGTTATCTTATTAAAGTGTATATTTTTTGACAACAAAGTATAGAACCGCCGTTGTTGCACAAGTTAAACTTTGAACATAGATATTTCATTAGAATACAGATATCGCTAAAATGTAGGTACAATAATATTAATTCATCTCATGACATATTCGTGGCGGTTAATTAATTTGGTGGCTACATCGAATTACCGTTTTTTATATTGCAGATCTTTGTTCGTACTTACTGTAAAAGCGGTCTCACGCGGAAAGCAATAAACATTGCATTTATATTACACTAATATGTGTAGGTAATGTATATACGATGCATACGCATACGCATATCAATATTATATACATATATCGAAATCATAACCGTTATAATATGTGCAATTCAATTGAAGATCCGACCAGACACGGTGAAATCTACTTATTTGCAATTTTATCTACCGGATTATGATTCCAGTTTATAGCATAACAACAAAAAAATACACGGGGGCGTTAATGACACAGTTTTTACTTTCAAAAAAAAAAACCAAGTACTTTCTTGATTATGTTTGTGATAGTCGACACGTTATCACCAGATTTCGCGACGGAAAACTCTTTAGGTCGTCATAACAATTGCTCATTATAGGCACTTAAGATACATACAACATTTCAGAAATTGTAACCCCCAAACTATGAATATAAAGAAACAAATAGGATTTCCCCTTAGCAAATTTATGATTTGCATAGCCTCTCATATATTAATAAATACTATAATAATCCGTGGTCATGCTAAGTATATTTTTCTCATGCTCCTAAAAAACACAAACATTTATGATGGAAAACATCTTTTTTCAGCTTGGATACTTTTTCGAAAAAAATTCTAATAAAGTACTGGGATTTCGCCAGTGGCTACCGCTTGAGTCTTAAAGTAGATATTATAAAAAAAAAAAAAAAGAACTGTGATAAATCATAAAAAACACTATTAAATTACAAATTGAATTTGGCATAGCATGATCAAATGCTCAAAGTTCTGAACCCTGGTTAAGTTTTCTACTATTCACGGGCTTGTATAATGATTATGTCACGTTTCATAATTTTTTTAATCTTAAAAATTGTTATTTTCATTTACTATTTAAAGTACATTTGTATTACTTCTTGTGCTGTCTTTTATTGCGTGAATTAAGTGTATACTGAATTTATTTTTCAAGGCTAGCTACTAAAATGAATTATTAATTTTGAATTGTATTACATACATGTTTTTGAATTAGAAGAGTAATATAAATTTTTATGTAAGCTTTTTAAATAATACAACATTTTGACTGTTCAATAACCAATTTTGAATAATTACTGTTAAAGTTGATAAAGTTTATAGTTTAAGACGGAAGGAAGGGTGGAATATTGTTTTTTTTCAGCGAGCGTTACTCAACTGCACTCCATCTCTTGTTCTAAATTTTAAACATTAATAATTTTAAAGCAATTACTCAAAACTGGCTACCGACTAGTTAACATTTTCAGGAAATTATTTTTAATTTTAAAAGTTAATTAAATATATACTTTACCACTTAAGTTTCAAGTTGGTAGCGATCTAGAAAATAGTAAAAAAATTTAAATATATGGTAATTTTACAATATTGTACTATAATATAAATAAAAACTTTTTCAGAAAGAAATAATGTATAACATAGTATTTGTTGAATTATGTCATGTGAAATCAACATAATACATTTTCGATATTTATTTCATAAATGCTATAAAAGTACAATAACACGATTTGGTTGTGCATTTATTATTCAGAATACTTGTATTTAATGACACCCAATAAAACTTTCACATTTCCGGATACAACTCTGAAACGCTTTTAAATAGAATGTTTTTGATCAAAATATAAATATACCAACATTTAATTTGGCATGCAAAAAGGTACAATTAATTTTTTATTTTTCAAAGCAAATTTCTTTTTTTTAATACTATAAATCACTTTTTTCACCACCATCAAAAAAACATAATATCCACACTATACATATAACTTAAAAGTGTTAAGAGGGAGATAAAAACTGTCGTTATAGCTTTGTATAGATGAAGTATTATATTTAGCCTAGAAATTTAATTTTGTACCTATCTTTTTATTTGTTGTTGCCCGTCTAGTATTTATCTGTGTACCTGATGTGTACTTTAAAAATAAAAAATAAAAAGCAGATGATGTAGGTAGGGAAATACAATTTCTATTCCTCTGAAGCCCCCCGTGAGTACGTCAATGTATAGACGAAACTCTTTAATTCTATTATAAGTAATGAGACAATTTTTTTTTTTTTGGACAAATGTCTTTATTGGGTATAAATGGTTTCGAATCGTCCGACGACGAGAAACAATCATTATCATTGGCTGAAATCTAGAAATGAATTGCGCGTGCACCTTTTGTCTTAAGCAATAATACACTACAGACAGTGTAGAATACTATAGTATAATAGTATGCTACATTGTTATAACATAATAGAATGATAAAGCATACATTTCTTTATTTAATGAATCGCTTTTAATCAACTGTACACTGGGTCGTTGAGAAAAAACTAAATGCAGTTCTCCAATAACACTACAGCGCTTGTTTGTGGGTTGAACGATTCATTGGTAAATATATTTTTTTTACCAATACAATAAACGTAGTTTATGTCACAAAGCTTTGACAACTCTACTTTAAATAAATCACTGTTAAACGTATTAAGTATTATACACAAGAGCGGTGTAGACTGAGACTGGTGTGTAAACTGAGCTCAGGTCGGGAAATTACATTTCATTTAAGT